CTTCAAAAGAAATTTCTTTGTGTCAAAGGAAATATGTTCTTGATCTACTAACAAAGCATGAAATGTTGAGTGTTAAACCGGTTCTACTCCAATAAATCCAAACGAGTAAGCTTGTACGGACTCGATCTAGTTTTCTTGACAAACCGATTGTTTATAGACAACTTGTGGGAAAACTTCGTATCTAACCTTTACTAGACACGATATATCTTATGCTACTTAAGTGTTATCTCAATTTATGGATAAACCGAGTTGAAGTTCATTTGCAAGCGGCTTTTAGAATGTTGAAATACCTAAAGAAAGCAACTAGACGAGGTTTGTTATTTTTCTCTCATTCGATATTCGACTTCAAGCTTACACGGACAATGACTGGGCAAGTTGCAAGGATTCAGAAGATCGAGTCATAGGTTATTGCATTTTTCTAGGGAATGCTATTATCATTTGAAAGTCCAAGAAATAGACTATAGTGGCGAGAAGTTCGTTGGAGCTGAATATGGAGCAATGGCCTCTACTTCTTGTGAAATTATTTGATTGTTATCATTATTGACGGATTTGAGGTTTGAACACAAAATTGGAGTTTTGCTTAAATGTGATAATTAATATGCCATTCACATAAGTAAAAATCCGAGTTTTTCACGAGAGGATAAAACACATTGAGATGGATTGCCATTTCATTAAAGAAAAAGTGATTGCTTGGGGAAGTGAAGCCTAAATATTTATCCTCCGATCTTCACTTGCTAACTTGTTCACAAGCCCTTACGACCTACACGTTTCTAGTTTCTTCTAGGCAAAATGAGCATGATTGATAACCATGCTTCTCTTAAAGGGGATTATTAGAAGTCGGTTGATCCTCTATTTATATGGCTTCTTCTACCGATGCGTACATCCTGCAAATTAATATGTTTGTGATTAATTATTTATTTGATTAATAGTAAGTTTAGTTAGCTAGAAAGGTTGTTAGTTTTGTTAGTTTCCTTTGTTAAGAACATCGGTAGTTAAGTATACAAATTCATCTTTGCTTCTCCTCTATGGTATAAAAAGGTTAGAAAGAAATTACAAATCAAGCTGTGTAAATTTCTATTTTTTGATGAAATGAGAAGAAATAAACATGTTTTCTCTCAATCCAACATGTTAAGAACATAATTTTTAACAAAAAAATAAAATAAAATAAAATTTTGCGGATGGAACACAACCTCGCCACTAGGTTCATTAAGTTAATGTTTCTATTGTGATTTTGCCAAACCTATACTAACTTGCTATTCTAACAAGGAGTATATATATATAATATTATTTTTTTTTATCTTTTCTCTTCAATTGCTTTCCTTTGCCAATTATACACAGCAGAAAGACATTTTTTTTTCTTTTATATGTATGCATCAGTTAAATAAGAAAAAAAAAAAAAAAGCTAGCTTCAAGATAGTTATTTTTCTATTTAACTTTAATCATATATATATATATATATAATCTTTTTTTTCTTTTCTCTTCAATTGCTTTCCTTTGCCAATTATACACAGCAGAAAGACATTTTTTTTTCTTTTATATGTATGCATCAGTTAAATAAGAAAAACAAAATAAGAAAAAAAGCTAGCTTCACGATAGTTATTTTTCTATTTAACTTTTATCATTTTCTCACACTGCGCATGCAGAAAGGTATCATATTTTGAATGTTGAGCATAGATGTGGAGACCAGAAAACTTTACCAGCATACGTACACCGTAATAGGTAAAAATACATGCTATTTCTCATACGTATGTCTAATGATAATAATTAAAAAAAAAATTCTAGCTATTCCTTCTTTTCCATTGAATAGATCATAACCATTAACAATCCTCAATCGAAACTGTGCGCCACAAATAAGAGCTAATAAATAAATCCTCAAGTCCTTCAGAACTGAAAACTTATGTTGTGATTCTGATTCGTGCAATTAAATGAGCACTTACTTTACTATAGTTATTTCTTGTTTCTTGCTTGCTTGTTTGTTTTTTTCCTGGCGTCTTCCGAAAATTGCTCCTTAATTGAAGACGGATTCACCTGTTGAAGTGGATTCCAAAGGAGGTGGCTAATGTTTTAGCAAATCTCGAGGTAATCCTCTCAATAATCTAGGATATGATCAGGCCGGGACTTCCTTCGTCAGAATTGAGCGATTAATCAAGATTAAGCTCGTGTACAAAAAGGCCATAATAGATGTGCGTATTGGGTAGGTCATGATTATGATCTCTCATTTAGCATTAGGAATTTCTATTTTTCACCAACCTCCTACATGCTGGAAAAGAACAGGTTGGAAGATATAACACAATGTCTGTGTGGTGATGGTTTTCCCGAAATTGGTGTATGCGAATGAGCGTAAAGTTGATAGCCAGCTAGAAAAGAAGTTTAAGTGCTTGACCTTCATATGGTTAGATACATGGCATTATTCAAAAGTTGCCAGCCGTTGGTGCCCTAATTGATTTGGACAGGAAATAAATCACAGACAAAGTTCGGTATATGGCCATGCATGCAACAGAAGATATATATAGTACAAGCAGTGTTAGGTAGCAACGTAATCGAGACAGAAAAAAGTTATTGGTAGAAATATGTCTTTTTGATATTGAAGACGATCAAAGACTCTAGGAACAATTTGACACTTTTTGCTTTATCTTATGAGCACCAAAAGATCAACTGCTTTGTTTACAAAATTCAGATGCTATAGTTGGTATAATGGATGCTAGCTTCATGTAATGTAATGAATGAAGAAATTAGCAATCTTGATAATGACAATCAAGTAAGTATGATATTTTGCGGCAAACCTAAATTAATTTCCATTCAAAGAAATTTCATTGTTCTATGATTGCAACCAAAGATTGTTGTCGGTACCAAATTTTATGATTTTGAAGGTTTCATGGCGTGTCAAATTTAAAACATATGGTGCAGAAGAGCAAGTTATAAACATCAGGAAAGAACTACTACTTAGTTCATAGAACAGAGTCCAGCTTTCCTAGATACTGTGATGTCTTGGATAAAGATGTGCAGAAGAGAAATTTCTAGGAAAATATCTTCTTTTTTTCCTTCATTTTTTGATATCTTATAATATTTTGAAATATATCGTATACTAACATATTATAAACTATAATATAATTATAATTAAAAAATATATTTGTATTATCGTATTTGTATTTGTACTTAATTATCAGTGTCAGTATTATTTTTTCACCTTTTTTTTTATTATTTTTTTCTTGGTTCTCTTGGGGATAAATAAATCAGCCATGTTACAAACTCTAGCCAATGCATTCCAAAGTTGGGTTTTGCTAAGATTAGGAGCAAAGCTTACAATGGAAAAGGATGTGATTCTTGAGGGGGAGGGAACTGAAAAAGGTAACTAAAGAGGGTACAGTGATTGGGTCAGGGCTGGAGGTAGGGTGGTTGTGATGGTGGCTAAAAGGGCGGTGAAAAGCTGAAGAGTTCTTACGGATGGGGTCAGGAGGGATGCGTTTACGAAGAGACGTGTGATCTTACATTATATTTTGCTGAGGAAATGTTCTGATTCTAAACATGAAAGCTTTGTGATTTTTTTTTCTTAAAGCTCTTATTACTTGTGGCAATTCGTCATCGTACTTTTCAAACATTTTTCCCAAATTTTCATCTTTCCTGACGAAAAATAATTTGGGCGGCAAGAATTCTTAAGCTCCACAAATAACAGCATTTCAAGCTATCATGTATGGATAGTATTGATTGCTTTTTAACTTTTTAGTTAATGAAAGTTTTTTTATTTTATCATACGAATTGGTCTATAATTTTTTTTTTTTTTTACTATGGACGAGTGATTTGAAGTTTTAATATATTTAAGAAATATATTACTATATCTGTTGCATTGTACAGCAGAATTCAGAAAATTATTATTGTTAACTTACCCTTGTTTATATTTAACCAAAAAAAAACCCTTATTTATGATCCAACTAAAGATCCTTTGATCCATGGATATCATCTTAATCTGAAAAATAAATAAATAAAATGTAACTGTGGTAAATCCAGTCAGCAAAATTTTAAAAATAGACGATTAATCGCACCGACCACGCCGTAGTATAAGGTGTGATACGCTGACGCAAGATCAGATCCCCATCAGCTCCAAGCCGAGCCGTACAGCTCTTTCAAGTTATATAGCTTCAACGTTCTTTTCTCTCTCTCTCAAGGCCAAAAAAATATCTAACACTATTAAAACGGTCAAAAACCGGTTATAGCCGGTAAACAAAGATTTCATTTAGACTGAATTTTGGGTTCATTTCATTTGCCAAAATTAACTGCAAGTGTACCTAACCCAAGTCAGATTCTAACCCTACATCAAACCCAAATTGGTTTATTTATAGACAGAAATTTTGTGGGAGGCCAGCTAGGTTGTTTCCTAGTTTACTCATCTGGTTTCTCTCATTCTCCCTTCGTCTCTCTCTCCTCCCCCTCTCTTTGTTGACGAACGGTCTTAGACTATTGTATAGAGAATTAAATGTTTAGAATTTCGCTTGTTTATTTGATTGGTTAATTATGCAATGTAAGAAAGAAAGAAAAGGGAGGTTTCTTGATTGATAACATCACTTGTGGGTTGGGTTTTGGTTTTTGGCTAGTAGTACTCTAGCTAGCTTTGCTTGTTGGGTTTTTCTTTCTTCTTCTGTTGTTGTTTCTTTGGATGGGTACAGAGGGAGAAGAAGTAGTAGTAGTGTTGAAAAAGGAGAAAGATGGGAGAGACAATAGAGGGCTGGAGGGGTACAGTTGTATACAGCAAGACTGTACAAGTTGGTCTAGCTATATACATGAAAATTCTTACAAGTGAGAGAAATAAATCTTGTACTTTTTAAGTGCACTCGCCCACTCTTCTTAATCTGAAAAAATTAAATCTTAAAACTACGAAGACATAAAAAGAACAAGAAGAGGACTGACTTCCTTGATCTTGAACAAAGATCTGGTTTTTTTTTTTTTTCTTAAGAGAAAGTTGTTTTCTTTCTGTTTCGTCGTGGTAGTCGTCGTCATCATCAGTCATGAAGAGATCACTTGGCAGCTCTGATTCCCTTGGTGCTTTGATGTCCATCTGTCCAGCGACAGGTTCTTACATAGAACCCATCAACCTAGTTCTTACATAGAACCCATCAACCTAATTCTCATCTTTTTAATGCTAGCTAGTTAGCTTCATTCCAAAAATTCACACACACCCATATGGGTGTCATGCTTTTTATTAACTTTTCTTTTTCATTTTTCATGATAAGAACTGGTCACCTGTCAAAGTTCTGCAATAACCTTTGAATCCAAGTGAACTAGCTAGTTTTTGTTTTTCTTTCTAGGACTTGTCATGCTTCAAACACTACTTTTCACTTTATTCTTTGAAGTATAAAGTTACTATTCATATCCACTAACTTATCTTTGAATTCCTTTGATTGTTTTATAGAAGAGCACAGTCCAAGGAACAACACCCATGTCTATAGTAGGGAATTCCAGTCCATGTTGGATGGCTTAGATGAAGAAGGTTGTGTGGAAGAATCAGGAGGTCATGTTACCGAGAAGAAAAGGCGATTAAGTGTAGATCAAGTCAAGGCCTTGGAGAAAAACTTCGAGGTCGAAAACAAACTTGAACCTGAGAGAAAAGTTAAGTTGGCCCAAGAACTTGGCTTGCAACCAAGACAAGTTGCAGTTTGGTTCCAAAACCGCCGTGCCCGGTGGAAAACCAAGCAATTGGAGAGAGATTATGGCGTTCTTAAAACCAGTTATGATTCTCTCAAGCTTAATTTCGATGCCCTCCAACATGACAACGAAGCTCTACTCAAAGAGGTATATATTTCAAATTTCGTCATATTTATTTATTTATTTATGATGAATCGGAGTGACACTGGACTAAATTTTTGTCTCGTCTTTGTTACAATAATACAGTTAGTTTATAAGAACAAATTAACAACTCAAGGATATTCTTGGTTGATCTTTCTTATGTTTTGTTCATTTTCCAGATAAGGGAACTGAAATCAAAGCTGAACGAGGAGAATACAGAGAGCAACGTTTCTGTCAAAGAGGAGATAATTTTGCCTGAATCAGAAGACAAAGTGACTGAAGAAGAAACACCTCCACTCCTTGATTCTGTTGCTGCATCAGAAACGAAAGAGCTGAATTTTGAGAACTTCAACAATAGCAGCAGTATTAATATCGGACTAGGAGCCTCTCTTTTCTCGGACTTCAAAGATGGGTCATCGGACAGTGACTCAAGTGCAATCCTGAATGAAGATAACAGTCCTTCATCTGGGATTCTCCAAAGCCAGCTAATGTTGTCCCCACCACCATCTTCATCACTCAAATTCAACTGCTCCACCACATCTTCTTCGCCATCATCAATGAATTGCTTTCAGTTCTCCAAAACATATCAAACTCAGTTTGTGAAGTTGGAAGAGCACAATTTCTTTAGCAGTGACGAGGCTTGCAATCTCTTCTCTGACGAGCAACCTCCAACTCTTCCTTGGTACAGTTCTGATCAATGGAATTAGGAAACAAGCTAAGGAACAAAATTGAAAATAAGTATTCAGTCAGATAGTGGGTGGTACCTTGAGAGAGTGTTAGGCTAAGCTCCAAGGATTTTGTAAAATGGAAGTGGAATATCTATGTAATTTAAAGATCACTTGGGCCTCCATTGTGCAAAATGGTGAAAATTTTGACCACTGTTGGTCCAAGAAGAATATGGGATGGCAAAAAAAAAAAAAAAAAAAAGCATGGGATAGGGACTAGAATGGTAAGAAAAAGAAAAGGAAAGGGGACCTAGAAAAGGAGCAAAAGAAGATAGAAAGAGAGCCTCCAACGTGGTCTTGGATGAAAGGTGACGCCTAAATTGTATAATTTGTCACTTAAGCCGTGCGGGAAATGATTAGGTTGTAATTGGGAGTGTCTATCTCTTGCTGTAAGGGGGGGGGGAAAAGAAAAAGAAAGCAGAAATCTTGGAATCCATGGAAAAAGAGCTCTGCTGTAATGGAGAAAATAATCATAGCTTCCATTTTTACTTTTTATCTATGCTCTTTCTCTTCTTTTAATTGCTAGTAAAATGCAAAGCAAAAGTAAATTAGCATCAATTGCGGCCAACCGGATTCAAGATGTGTTTGTATATTACACGTGCACTAAACTCCTTACCCACGCATCACACAAATGGCCAAGGTTTTAATAATTATACAGCCGCAATTATTTCGAACAAGCTTCAACTTTCGAAAAAATCTAGCTTCTCATTTGCCGAATTTCCATTGCTAACACTCTTGCATGAAGAATGAAGTTTGGATTTTCACAAAAATTTGAACCTCCATTCAAAATTTTGTTGCTTAGCTCGCTTTTTTCTATTAACTCTATGGATCTGGAGGGTTTGTTTGACTTAATTAGAATTTTGGGTTTCAAACTATGAATTTGATTGGCAATTAAAAAAAACAATTTATTCAAGTAATATCCTTCGAATTATATACTCTTTTTTATTTTTTTTATTATTAGTTGAGAGACGAAATTTTTCAAAAAAAAAATCATGAGATTTTATTAATTACCTAATTTTGTTTTTCATTTTAACATAAGAAATTATTAATAAATAAGTACAAGTAACTTTTTTCTTGTTTAATTAGTTTGTGTTTTTGAACTCTAATTAACCTCATTTTGTTTATATCTTTGCCATTTTGTGTCTCATGAGCTATCATAACAGTTGCTGTTCTAAAAACAAGTACTCAATATTTTGTAAATTGATAATTTTTAAGAGAAACTGGGCAGATCATAGAAGAGAAATTTTATAATATATAAGAATAATTAGTGGAGAGTAACTATTGGTATGTATAGTAGTTATTCTATAGATCCACTTTGAGGAGAGAGATAGACACATTGAATTACATCCGGACTTACCAAAAGTGATAAGAAGATTTTCATATTCGCTTAATTTTTTTAATTTTCTCTCTCATGTTTCTCTCTTTTTTTTTTTTTTTTTTTGCCTATCTCTCTCCTCAAAGTGGATTCATGAAGTAATTACTATATATGCCACTAGTTATTTCTTGTGTATTATAAAATTTCTCATCATAGAGTATTAACTATTGCTACACTATGTTCTACTAACACAAGTTATTTGTTATAATAAAAAATAAAATAAAATAATTAGGAGTTTACTAGCATTATTTGTGATTTTTTTTTCTTTTCCAAATTTTAAAAATAAAAATATAAAACTTATTTGTTTTAGATGTTTTGCTCAAAATAAGTAACACTAATTATACAAAACACTAAAAGATTTGAAGGGAAAAAAACTATTCATGTTACTATTCACCCACACTCAAGTGTACTGTTCATTTTTACTTGATTTTTTTTTTTTTGGGTTATTTCAAGCATTTACATGTAAATTTTATTCAATATTACGCTTTGGTCTCTTATGTTTTCGAAAGACTTATTTTCATCTTCAACTTTATTTATATCGCATTTTGATCTATGAATTTTTTTTCAGCAATTTTTTAATTTTTTTTATTATAGATTTTGAGATAAATTTATGAAAAAGTAATCGTTGTTTTTTTTTATTTTTCATACAATCTCGCGGTGAAGAAATATGATTTTTTTTATTTTTCTTTTTTATTTTTTTGAATATTTTAAAATTAGTTTCTTTCAAATAAAATAATATTTTTTAAAAACCACCTAATGATTCAAATATAGTTTTTAATGGTATATTATTGATTATTTTGTGATTGAATATATATATATATATATATATATATATATATATATATCAAATGTACATGCTTTCAAAAAATAATTTTTCCATCAACATTGAATAAGAATAAAATTTAATTTAAAAAAAAATTTAAACAAGTTTTTACATTAATTGTAACTTTGTTTGTTTTCATTTTTATAGAACCTTATGAAAAAAATGTTGATGTTTTTTTTTAAAAAAAAAGAATTTTAGATTCAATTTTTTATTTAGATTGTTTCATATTTTTTTTATTTAAGAATAAATACATACAAAAGGGCAAATCATGTTTTTTTTAGTTGAAAATTTATGAAAAACATAAGAAGAAATCAATTAAATATAAGATTTTGATTAAAAAATTATTAAATTTATTTATTTTTTGATTTGATATATTTTAATAGATTCATAATATAACATGAAGTATCAAATTAAAATAATTTAGTATTATCCAACTTGTAGTATAGCACGGGTGACAAACCAATGACTACTAAAACCACTCTATTTGATTTTTTAAAGTCTTGGCAACCGGTTTTTGATTATTAAAAGAAGTTTTCAAAAAAAACAAAACAGAAAATGAAAACTATACACGATACCAAACATTCCTAATATTTTTTTTCCTCTTTCAAATTACGACACATGACAAGGACAGTATTCGAACTTAGGTCTTCTCCTTAATTTGCTGTGTAGAGGAGATTGTCAATGAAACTACTGTCAAATTAACAATGCAATATGATGGACACCAAAAAATATTTGGCATGATCCATGTGGTCTATCCAAAATTGAAAAACAAAAATGCAGGATTCTTTTACACGCAACAAGAGTGGTAGAAACTTGGAGTTCGTGCATGACAAGCTAGAATTGTTTTATCAGTGAAAAAGATGAAAACAACAGTGACCTTTTATTTTACCGAGTAAAAATTGAAAAGGAAAAGGTAGCTTTGAAAACAATCGCATATATGGAGAAAAAAGTTATGCAACGAATGATTGATTTTCTTGAACATCAAAAGTTACAAACACAAATGCTTCTAGGAAAAAGAAGAGTTTTGTTTAGCCGTAAATGTGAAATTCAATTTAACGATGGTTTGTTCCCACCGTCATTTGATTAGTTGATAGACAACAAAACATTACAAGAAATTCCCAAGACAGAATTGATTGTTATGAAATATTCATTTCAAAATTGGAAAAAGTCGTGATTGGTCCTTTTATTTCGTTGACTTTTTTAAACTAGACCTTGTACTTTCCTTAATTAATATCGACTCCTATGTTATGTTTTCTTACTAAAGTAAATCGGTCCTACCAATAACAATTACGTAGCATCCATCCAACTGTGGTTAAATCAACATGCGTCAAGCAATTAGTCACAAAATTCAAATACAAGGATCGATCAAGGAACATAATGTACGTTTTGGGACCAAATAATTGAAATAAATTATATCTCAGTTGAGAAAAATAAAAAAGTTTAAGGCTATTTTCTTACTGACAGGAAAATAAAAGGGATCTTAGGCATGCCAAATTTGATAACGCAACTAAACAATTAGAATTTTTTTTACCCCCTTGATCAATCAAAAATTCCTCATCTATGCACGAACTAATTAAAAAAAAAATTGTTTCTTGAGTGATTATTAGAGTCATTCACTTACACAACTTCAAAAAATTATTGGGGCTTTGATGTTTCTCCGAGAAAACAAAGACAGAGGTGTAAATGAACCTTTGAATCAATCACCATATAAAAATATAAAAAAAAAAATTCACACAGCTCAGAAATCCAAAAAAAAAAAAAAGACAAAAGAAGATTTAAAAGAGTACCTAAAAAGAAGGGTTACATGATTGGATGCCGAAACATACGTGTCTAATGGGAGCCGCAGCTTTTTCGTGTACCCTTTTATCATCACACTTTTGAGTTAAAAGTTTGTGAAAATACCACTGCCCCTCCCCCCCCCCCCCCCCTCTCCCTTGCCTTTTTTTTTTTTTCCCTCTCTTCTGCACTTAATTAAGACAAACATAATTATTACTTTTACATAAACCGATGTAAACTGCGAATTTGATTAATATAGTTGTTGATGTTACGACCAATTAACCCACCGTCATTACTGGCGATATCGCATGATTACTGGACAAATAGTACAATAGCATCTAATTACGTGCGATGAGGTGATCATCTTTGCATTATTATTGTGATGAGATGATCATCTTTATGATTGTGCAATGGTTATAACCTGATAGTTGTCGATTTAAGGACGAGTATCTATAAAATAAATTCTTTTTTATAGTTAAAGGATTTTTTTGGGTTAAATTAGCGTATATAAAAAGATATTTAGTCTGAATAGAATATAAAAAATTAGTTCTTGTGAGTAGAATATAATTAATAATATAGTTAGTTTAAAAAGTAAAATTTATAATTTTTTGTTTGTTAGTTTTTATATAAAATGATGAGTTATCAACTTATATAGAGTAGATGTTTAAATTGTCTTTCTTTTTGTGTTTCACACTTTCTAACATACATTTGAGAGTTAGAAATTCTTTTAGAAGATGGTTGTTGTCTAACGACGCCCATGTAGGCGTAGTTGATTATAATACGATAGAAACATTTAAAAAAAATCATGCCTTTATTATTAAATAAATGTTTTTTTTATTTATCAAGTGGATTGAAAGGTACTTTTTTATTTGGTCTATCTATCTATCTATATTAAATGGTCGAGTTTTGCTCGATCAATGTTATCATTAACGATTGGTCGAAATTATTCTATTTGAAGCGAACTCTTAACTAAAAAGTCTTTAAATATAATATAGAAATACTTGTTAC